ATGACACTATTTACATTTATATCAATTTATACTTACTTCAACACTTACCACTTTTAACACATGCACTTTATTTCGTTAAACCCCACCCTCTAACCTTGCCTGGTGTTGGTAATCACTTTAAGATATTTTTATCACAGCACTCAATTCTTTTGTCTTTCTGCTGGTTTGTTTAAATGTATGTCTGTCTGTAAATCCAATTTGTGGAATAGGTTGTCTGTGCCATCAAATGTGTACTTGTCTGATATTTGATAACACAAATTACAGAGGAACTGTAATATATATATATATATTTTTACTTCTTCTTTTCGACTCTGTTAGTTTTTCTAAGTTTTAAGAAATGTTTCCTTTTCTTTTAATATTTTACTATATTGTTGAATTCTATCTGCTGTTATGAACATATTTCTATTAAACATGTCTTAAAATGTTTTTTTCATTGGTAATCACCACAATTGTAAATAATGTAATTGTCACAGCTATCAGTCTGATGGCAAAAACATCATATGTAAATCTTATTCTGTTTGAAATGCTAACAATGTGCATAACTACCATCTTAATAAAGCATCATTGGCAAAGTTTAACCTTTATGCCTGCAAAAAAAGATGTATCAAAAGGATAGTTTTTTTCTTTGACACCACTATTACAGCAAGCTCTTCTCACTTCCTTGGCAATGTTTGTTGTTTTAAAAACTCCAGACATATGAAAGGGAATTTAAAAACTCCAGACATATGAAAGGGAATTTAAAAACTCCAGACATATGAAAGGGAATTTAAAAACTCCAGACATATGAAAGGGAATTTAAAAACTCCAGACATATGAAAGGGAATTTAAAAACACTATTTATTTATTAGATTGTTTATTTACAAGAATGATTTTATATTTATAACTATACAAATGAACCAATACAATGCAATGTTTATCATTTATAAATAAATAAATATGAAAAGAATTTTTTTATTCATAAATTTTTATACATTTCCTAAATTATAAAAATATATGAACCAACTATAATGAAATCCTTACCATTTTATGAAGTTTGAATTGATTGGGAATTAGAAGACTTTTTAAAAAATTTATTTCTTTATAAAATGATAAATAATATATCTTTAGAAAATGGTAAATAATAAATATCACATTGTAGTTGGTTCACATATTTTCATAATCTTGTAAATAAACAGTGCCAGGGAAGTCTTGGCTATATACAGTAATAGTGGTGTCGACCAAAAAAATCATTCTTTTGAAACACTGTTTTTTTTGCAGGCACAAAGGTTAAACTTTGCCACATCATCATTATATCGGAAACATTTTGATTGTTTTCGTAAAATATATTTGAAAGGACCAGTCTCTAGAAATTCTAAGATAACACAAGTTAAAAACTTTCAAAGAGGGGATGTCATCAGTCATCTGAATTTTTGTCTCTAAAAATCATTGTCAAAATTGAAATGAAACTGGTTTGTAATAAGACATCAAATCTTTATAATTTTCTCTATGAGTAAGGAGAATAAAAAAAAATAAGCTAAAAAAAAAAATAACAAAATTAACCTCTCTTTACTGATAGGTAAAATTACAAAACACCCATTTTCTTTTTCAAATTTGAAGTATTTTTGTTTCTCTCTCTCTCTTATATATTTCATTGAATGTGACAGTCAAGGAAGATAATTATAGTAACCTGTTGGCTGTCTTTTAAAAAACACCCTCAATATAGAATTACATCTCATATAGCACAGCTTAGAATTACTACTATTTCCATAAAATACAACTTGCTGGAAAACATACAACAAACCTATTGAAAAATGTTATACCAGAACATTACCTATTCTATTATTAATAGACTCTCCCACACATAATAAGTAGTAGTAGTAGTAGCGGTCGCCAGTTGGGCTCAGTGGAGTTGAGTGAGTCAGTCGATGTCGGACATTGAAGTATCAATGACCCCAACTAGATTGCTGTGTCATTAACTATTATTTTCAAGTTCCTAACGTTTTGTACATCAGACCCTTTTAGGACCGACTTAGCGAAATACAAATCTCCACTGTGAAAACTACTCTACAACAAAAAAAAAACAACTAATAAATTGATTGTATGTGGTTGGGATAATAATCACAATGGATAGTTTCTACAAAAAAGGAAAATGGTAAGAACATTAGAAAAACTGATTTAAAAAACAAAACAAAAAAAGAACATGATTTTCCTTGTTTTTTACATTCAATGAATAAAAGAAAGGTTGCTACACATTTTTAAATATATTGAGGCAATCAGATGTCTAGACAAATTGATGAGCTGTGAAACTGTCTGTCTGTGGATGACAAAATATATATATATATATATATATATATATATATATATATATTGTCATCCACAGACAGACTGTTTCGCTGTATCACAGCTCACCTGTGTGGTTAGATGTCCGGTTGCCTCTAGCTAGGATTGAAACCCGACTGAATTGGCATCAGTCAGAGATTCTGCCACTAATCTGTTGGCGCATGGCAGGGATGAAGGTGAATTTAAGTGTATTTATTTTTAGATAAACACACAGTGACTGAGAGAACTCAATTTGATTTAATGAAGTGTCTTGCATTATTAGCTGTAATTGTCACTGTTTACAAACCCACACTTCCTCCCCAGAGAGCTCAACTGAAATAAATTTTTCAGGAGCATATATATATGAGAGAGAGCCATATTGGTAGGGACAAGTTAATTTTTTGATTGTTAATTTTTTAGAAGGAGATTGTTAATATGTGATTATATACAACAGTGGTGATATAACCGAAGAACTAGCTAGATCCATTTTTGTACCACTGTTTAAGAAACCAGATGCAAACAGATGTGAACTCTGTTGGACAATCAACCTAATGAGCCAAAACTTATCTTCCAAATTCTGATGACTGGAGCGTGCAGCAGAATTAGACTGGAAATTGGACAAGAAAAGTGCAGGTTCTTTAAAGACACTGCAACAAGGGATGCAATATTTATGCTCAGAATGATATCAGAAAAAGCAATACAAATGCAGAAGGATGTGTTTTATAGATTATGTAAAATTATTTTATAAAATATGTCACCAAGAACTGTTGGAATTGCTAGGTAACCTTGATGCATTTAGGAAGGATATTAGAATAATCCAGAAGTTATACTGGGAGCAAACTGTCTGCATACAGATAGAAAATAAATCCAGTAAAAATAAAAAATAAAAAGATGTGTAAGACAAAGATGTGTCTTCTCACCAGACTTATTCAACCTATACAGTGAGATGATTCTGAGAGAATTAAAGTCCTACCAGGATTCATTATTGGCGATCACAATCTTAACAACATAAGATATGCAGATAACACAGTGGTGATAGCAGACACCAAAAAATGAAACTACAAGATCTCCTACAGAAACTAGTGAAGGAAAGGAAGAAGAAAGGGCTAAACATCGACTGCAAGGTTGAATGTTTGTTAGCAAAAGGAACTGTTCAAAATGCAAATTACAAATTGAAGGTACCAAAATCAAACAATTACAACAATTTAAATATTTGGGAAGTTTTTTTAATCAAGGACAGAAAGTGTAACACTGAAATCCAAATGCATATTGGGTTACATTCCAAAAGCTAAGCAAAGTATTAAGAAACAAGAAAATTTCGTTAGTAACAAAGAAAAGAGTACTGAACTGTTACATAATATCAATCCTCCTATATGGCAGATTATTTTTTTTATTTACATTGTTTGAACTGTTATCTTCATCTTTATTACCATATTCACAACATTTCACCTGTTCTCTTTTCCAGTTTTCGTTCAGGGGATATTTATTGAAATTTCAAGCCAAACTCTTTATTCAGTTGATGTGGGGAGGGGTAGATTGTTCTAATTTTATATGCTATGCCTTTGGATATCTCTGTTTTTAGTTAATTCCCTGGATGACTCAACTCTCCAATACCTCATCTCAGAAATATAGACAGATAATATTATTTTGTATTGGAGGAAAGCAAGAAGAAAGGACTAAACATCAATTGCTAGAAGATTGAATGCATGGTCGTCAGCAAAAAGAACAGTTCAACATGTGAATTACAAATTGAAGATACCAAAATCAAACAAGTACAACAATCTAAATAACTTGGAAATGTTTTAACATAAGATGAAAAGTGTGACACTGATATCCAAAGATGCATTTGCATAGCAAAAGATGCCTTCTAAAAGTTAAGCAAAATATTAAGAAATGTGGTTCTACAGAAGGATGCTGAGAATACTATGGAATACCTGTGAGCAATGACAAAGTTTTAGAGAAAATGGAAGCAAAAAGGGTAATTATAATTAATATCAGGCAGAGAGAGAGATGAAATTGCTAAGGTACATTATGAGGAAAAAGGGCTTGGAAAAATTGATACTCACAGGACATGTTAATGGCAAGAGGGATAGAGGAAAAAACTGATAACCTACCTAGTGAGCTTTAGTAAATGGATGGCAGAACAAGGTTTAGGAGAGATAACAAAAAAAACAAAATTTATTAAGAGCTACAAAGGACAGGAAATTGTGGAGAGCTATGATCACCAATGTCCTGACGAGGCACGCCACATAGAAGAATTTGTGATTTTTCCCTACTAATAGATAAAATTATAAATATTTGCCAAGTCATTATAAACCAGTGTTATTTCACTTTTGACAATGGTTTTTTTTTTTTTTTTGTTGATGGGATTGCCTCTTGGCGTTGCTTTAGCTTGTCATTTCTTAGAATTTCTAGAGACTGTTCTTTTCTGAAATATTTTACTTAAACTCATTTTTGCAAATCCAGTCATTTCCTACTCCTGACACTTGTTCTTCTTTACTATCTATCCTTAACATTACCATATAAAGTACTGAAGAAAACCTGAATCTACACCATTTTTGATATTCTATGAAACAAATGTGTTTTTCTTTCTCTTTTTCATCCTTATCTGCACATATATTGACATTAACCTTTATCAAATTTAAGCTTTTTATGAACTTCCATTTCCTTGTTGAAATAATGAAAACATTTGGTTAATGCAGATGAATTTGGCCTCCTTACCTTTTAGATTTCCTCCACCCTCTTTTATTCTTCATTTTACCATTTTTCAAGCAATGGTGGTGACCTTTCTTTTGTCTTTATACAGAAAACAATGATAAAGAATTGTGATACAGATCATAGGATGTTTCCTATTTTTATCATTGTTAAGCAAAAAATAATTACATAACTTTTTGTTTAGAAGCATTCTAATCTCTTATTCTAGAAAAAACAACTTCATGTAAAGTATGTTTTATTTGTAAAGATGCATAAGAACAAATGCACTCAGATTTGACTATCTACCTTTGTTTTAATCTTTGGTTTATTTAAAACTGTTTTAATGAATGATGCATTTTTTTATTAGTATTTTTTACTAAAGATGTTCAATTAGCGTAACAGATATCAATACATAAAATAGAATCACCAAGCCAAATTCAGATTCCAGGCTAGTCTGTTAGGAAAGACATGAATCCATCTCTTCTTTCCCTCAGCTATGGGTTAAATAACAGGGTAAACTAGGCTCTTTAGCCTTGTGTGACAACCAGTTGCAGAGAAGTAAAACTGATTTCCAAACTGTAGAGAAGGCAACAAGAAAGCTCTTCATTATCTCTCTTATGAAATTATGGCAATTGATAGATAATAAAGAAAAGGAATCTGTGGAGAAGGCATGAATTTCCAAGGAAGAAATTCTTTCATTGCACTCAAATCAATTTGTCTTCTACAATTACCCTTCAAATAGCCGACTATAATGATAAATATAATCTTTATTCTGATGCCAAATTAAATCGCACCAAATTTCCCCTTTTCATATTATTACAAATGCTGAAGGGTTGTTGACCCAACCCATTGTTGAAAATCTGTATTTCAAGATTAAATATCAGAAAACTGATTTTGTGAAACAGGTTCAACTGAGAACATTTCAATCTCCATTCGTATATATATATATAAGATTTGTTTTATTTTTTATATATTATTTTCTATCTTTTCATTACTTTTTCCTGTTTCTGCTTTTGTATGCATTTTGCTCCACCTACTTTTGGATCTAAACTAGAAACAACACCACTATGCTAGAGTTACTGAGTTGGTTGTTTAATCTTATGGCATATCACATCTGCTAGGTGGTGTTGCTGTAATTTAAAGGACAGGATTGCTGGCCTCATACCTACTGGTTTGAATTTTGTTGTCTTCCTAGACCATTGATGCACAGATGTTTGGTGATGTCTGATGATTCCCTGGGCCAACTCCTTAACTGTATACCCCTAAAACTGGAGTATGAGGGGGCCTATAGAGCCTAGTACTGAGAGGTGTGAGAAAGGAAGACATTTTAAATATGTAAAAACAGATGAAACATGAAATAAACACTTTATTCAAATTAAATATAAACTAAATTTTTATTTAACTATTTGATTAGATGCCCTCCCAATATAAATGTTTGGGACCATCGCAACCCCTCTCTGCTTCTGCACACTACTGTTCTAGACTGGTCAACAACCAAGGCTAGCCCTGCTATTTCACAGAACTGGATGAGGGAAAAAAGATGGATTTATGCCTTTCCAAGGGCAGTAATATAAAGTGCATGCAACAGATTTGACCAGGATTTGAACACTGCATGCCAATTTCATCTTCATGTACACCTAATTTTCTGAACTACTTTGGCTTTTTCATAACATTTTCATTTAATAATAATAATAATAATAATCTTTGTTCATTCAAACTTTTATTTCCATTATAGATTCTTCTCTACCCTTCTTCCCAATTCTTTCATTCATTCAATCCTCCACCTATTACTTTTTATTTCCATTATAGATTCTTCCTCTACCCTTCTTCCCCCTCTTTTTCATTCATTCAATCCTCCACCTATTACTTTTATTTCCATTATAGATTCTTCCTCTACCCTTCCTCCAACTCTTTCGTTCATTCAATCCTCCACTTTTATTTCCATTATAGATTCTTCCTCTACCCTTCTTCCCACTCTTTCATTCATTCAATCCTCCACCTATTACTTTTATTTCCATTTAGATTCTTCCTCTACCCTTCTTCCCACTCTTTCATTCATTCAATCCTCCATAGATTCTTTACCCTTCTTCCCATTATCTTTCATTCATTCAATCCTCCACCTATTACTTTTATTTCCATCATTCATTCAATCCTCCACCTATTACTTTTATTTCCATTATAGATTCTTCCTCTACCCTTCTTCCCACTCTTTCATTCATTCAATCCTCCACCTATTACTTTTATTTCCATTATAGATTCTTCCTCTACCCTTCTTCCCACTCTTTCATTCATTCAATCCTCCACCTATTACTTTTATTTCCATTATAGATTCTTCCTCTACCCTTCTTCCCTCTTTCATTCATTTCCTTTTTTTTATTTCCATTATAGATTCTTCCTCTACCCTTCTTCCCACTCTTTCATTCATTCAATCCCTCCACCTATTACTTTTATTTTCCACCCTTCTTATACTCTCTTTTTCATTCTCTCCACCCTTTTATTTCCATTATAGATTCTTCCTCTACCCTTCTTCCCACTCTTTCATTCATTCAATTCATTTCCATTATAGATCAATCATTCTCCACCAATCCTCCACCTTTACTTTTATTTCCATTATAGATTCTTCCTGTTTTTTTCATTTTCCACCTATTACTTTTATTTCCATTATAGATTCTTTCTACCCTTCTTCCCCTTTCATTCATTCAATCCTCCACCTATTACTTTTTTATTTCCATTATAGATTCTTCCTCTACCCTTCTTCCCACTCTTTCATTCATTCAATCCTCCACCTATTACTTTTTATTTCCATTATAGATTCTTCCTCTACCCTTCTTCCCCTCTTTTTTCCACCTATTCTTTTTATTTCATTATAGATCCTCTTCCCACTTTCATTCTCCTCCACCTATTACTTTTATTTCCATTATAGATTCTTCCTCTACCCTTCTTCCCACTTTTTCATTCATTTTCCACCTATTCTTTTTATTTCCATTATAGATTCTTCCTCTACCCTTCTTCCCACTCTTTCATTCATTTTCTTTTTATTTCCATTATAGATTCTTCCTCTACCCTTCTTCCCACTCTTTCATTCATTCAATCCACCTATTACTTTCAAATAGACTTTTATTTTCATTCATTCAATCCTCCACCTATTATTTTTATTTCCATTATGTCTTTCATTCATTCAATCTATCACTTTCATTTCCATTATAGTTTTTCCCTCTGCCCTTCCTCCCACTCTTTCATTCATTCAATCCTCCACCTATTACTTTTATTTCTGTTATAGTTTCTCCCTCACTTTGCCAATTCAAATTATCAGCCTTCAGTGTTTTATGCTGTGTTTTTGTTATTCTTCTCTTGACTGTTCGTTTCCCCTTTTTATCCTAATAATTAAAAAAAATGAAGCAAAAATCCTCGGGTATGCCCTTTTAATATAATTATTTTTTGATCTGTGTTTTTATTTTATATTTTCTAAACTTTTAAATGCTTTTATTCTATAAATCATTATGTTGTTTCATGATATCTATATATGTAATTATTTTAACAGACTTTTTAATTTTCAATCAACAGAAATATATGAAAAAAAAAATAAAACTATAAAATGTATGTATTAGCCACTAAAAAGGTGTAAATAAATCAAAGTTATTTTCTTTCCTTATCAATTCCGAGATAAATGATTCATAACAATTCTATTTATTTATCAAATCTTGACAGTGATTGTAAGGCATTTATCATGACAAGAGGAACTCTGGAAAACTGAGTTGGAATTATGCTTAAAATTAACCAAACTTATTTATTTTTTCTTTTACTTTATCTCATATTTCCAAAATATCTTTTTATAAAATAAAACTATTTTTGCCTTTTTGTCATCAGTAGGGTTTAATCAAGGTATGTCACTTTAATGATTTGGAAAATTACCATCATGAATAATCTAAGACTTTTATTTGTTCATTATTAGCACAGAGAATGGGTAAATTTGAAAAGTGTCTGCCATTGATTATTGTAAAAAAAAAAGAAAAAAAAAGAAAGCCTTTTTCATTATGTTTTATTTTTTTTATCTTTCCAGCTTGAAAAATTCCATTGAAAATTCTAAAAACATATTTTGTAAATATGAGATCAAGTGCAAATTAACAAATTTATTCCAGAATGGATTCTTTTTATTGAAAAAGTTAGATGTATAAGAATGGCACCTAATCTTATGACATTTTTAAAACTTTAATCATATGCTAAAAGTTTTTAAAAATCTCAAATATTATAGAATAATCATATTTAAATAAATGTTAATATCGGATTAAAAAAGAAATCAAATAATATCTTTTGCTCCTGATGTCAATGTATTTTTTCTTTCTTAATGTTTAATTCAACATTTCATTTTTTTTTTTTTTAAGATTTCATACAAAATAAGTTTTATTGAACATTATCGATAGTTCTTTTATAAATAGTAAAAATACTACTTTTTTACCATAATTATTATTACATGCATTCTTATTATGAAATTGTTATAATAAATATTATTACATAAAAAAACTTATTACTCTTAATAATTATATTTGTTCAATGCTCTTCTTTGTTTCTTCAAGTTTTAATGTTTGTTGTTTTCTGTCTTTTTAAAGATTCTTTACCATACTTATAGTATTTGCACAGTGTGATTAGTTAGTATATTTCAATATGTATAAACATTAATGTCTACCTTTTTTGCCTATATAACAATTATAATAATATTAATGACATTTTTTTTCCAAAAAATTACATGTAAAAAGCATGTACTTTTTTAGCACTTACACAATATTTTCCCTTTAGAATCTTTTATATGTTAATAATTCTAGTTTGTCTGATCACTTTGGAAATGTACTGAATATGAATATATGTGTAGGTATAATGTATACAGGTGTATGTAATGCATGTGCACGTAACTGAAGAAGAAGAAGAATGAAGTTTATTTTTGTCTTTTTTCTTTTTTTTTTCTTTAAGGTTTTATCAAAATCATTTATTACATGATTTTTAAACTGCAGAGAACAGGTAAATTGCAAAAGAATCTACCATGAGTGAAAATAAAATTGGGAAAATGTTTTCTCAGTTAAAAAAAGATAAAAATGTATCCTTTGTTAAGTCAAAGGATTTGCAAATAATGTAATTACTGCACAGTTTCTCCCCCTCCCTCATTCAGCAAGGCACAAATAAATATGTATATAAATGCACACCTATACACACATTCTTAGATGCTGAGAACCATATGCATACAACAGACACACACACACATTTTTTTTTTTTTTTAGTTCAAACTTGCTGTTGAAAACCGAGCAAACTCCAATTTGCTTGGTTTTCAGAAACAACTGCTACCAAGGTATAACTAACTTTGAAAAGAATCATCACAACCATTTGAGAGAATTAAGAATTAACACTAAATCTATCAGCCTGTATGACAGTCAACCCTTCAGTATGCCCTTCGTGTGGATTTCTTTGCAAATCCCATGCAGGATTGTTGTCTCATGTGAAACATAAATATAAAAACTGAACTGAAAGACACTCATACATCGAAAACAGTGGAAGAGTCCATCATATATATATATATATATATATATATATATATATATATATATATATATATATATATTTTAAGTTGTCTCTGTGAAGAGTTTCACAGAGACATAGACATTGGTGTGCAACTGAGGCACATGGAGGGAGCTGGTCAGGTACTTAGCTATACAGTGATCCAAAAACCACTCCTGATGATAATGGTGATATTTTTAATCAAGTAATGAATTTTTCTAATGTGACATTATTTCTTATGACTATAAATATTATATTTAGTGAGTACACATGTTTGAATAGATATCTTTGTTTCTGTTTTTTATGCAGAGGAATTAATGCCTACTGGCCTAGAGTTTGAAAGTTTTACTGACAAGAAATGAACCTATATTCTCTCCCTTTTTTTTTTAACCACCCCCTTAAAGAACAAAGATGTCTACACAAATACATGCACCAACTAAATAAACCATTGCTAATAGTATATCTAAGTTTAACATCATTTTTAATGTTAGTATATATGCATAAAAGGAATTTTTTTTATTACTATAAATGTTATTGTATTTGAGTTGCTATATACTAAAAATGATGTTTATAGTAATAAGAAATAATGTCAGATAAAAAATTCAGCAAACTTGGAATTTCATGCCCACAAAGAAAATGGAGTGTCAAAAAGGACAGTTTTTCCCTTGACACTGCTATTATTTGAACAACCTTTACTCCTCGGCAATGTTTATTGTTTTAAAAACAATGATTAGAACACAATAAAACCTAAACATATGATGGAAATGAATTTATACATTTTTTTGTTCTTGAGAATTTACAAGCAGTTCACAAAACAAACAAAAGAACTTACTCGGAGGAGAAATTGAAAGTATTTATATTGATCATCAGTTCTTTTTAATTGGCAAGTGTGACAAGATTCCTGCTTCTTTTTAAAAAATCAAGTAAGAGTAAGAACAACCAATGTCAGTACAAATTGGTTGACCTTATTTTAAACAATATTGGCATGGATTGATTGATTTGTTTTTCATGGTTTATCAACCCTTGTTATTTAAAGCTGAAACATTTCAGATTTACAGTACCTGGTTTTCTCAAGTGGTCCATATTGGTATGGATGTCTACCATATTAGATTACTGTTATCAGCTATCAAGCCATTAAGGCTTCACTTATTAAAAATCTCAATTCAAATCATATGTGACTAGAACCTTTTTTTTTTCTTTTAAAAAGAATTTAGTAAGATTATCGATTTTCATTTTAAATTTTTGGCATAAAAGCAAAATTACTGTACGAAATAATTTTCTAGCATTTATGTTATTAAATAAAATTTATTATGTATGTTTTTTATTTAATTATATATATAAGCAATCTAGATGTCATCTACATACACATAGCCTCCAATTATCCAACCTCTATAAATAAGTAATTTAGAGGTCATGACCATAAATAACAAAAAAAACCTCTTTACATACACACACACTTCCTCCATCTGCCCAACCAGCATAAATAAGCAATCTAGAAGTCATGGCTATAAATAACTCATTTAACTTATTTACATACACATTGTCTCCAATTACCCAACCTCTATAAATAAGTAATTTAGAGGTCATGACCATAAATAACCCTAACCTATTTACATACACACACACACACTTCCTCCAACTGCCTAACTAGCATAAATAAGCAATCTAGAGCTTATGACCATAAATAACCCTCAGCATTCGCTAGAAAAAA